TTGGGGCCATGCTTCTTTGATAGGAATCACCAGGAACTAGTTCACTCCTAAGTGCTACCAGGCAGTTTTTTTCTTTCCTTCCCTCATCCATTCTGTCCTCCCTTTCTTCTCTTCCCTTCTCTTCCTCTCTTTTTTTCTCCTTCTCCTCCCTTTTTCACCCTCTTTTCCTCCTCCTCCATTTGTTTTTTGTTTGTTTTTACATTTCTCTGGGGGTAGGGTTGTTTTGTTTTGTTTTTACCTGTCCTCCCTTAAATTTTGTATTTGACAAGCTCTAGTGAGAGGTGTAAAACTGAACTGACACCTTTGTTTGGGTCTTGGCTCTACCAAAATCTGCTCTATGGTTATGAATTTGCCACTTCTCAGGATCTTGGTTTCTATCTATAAAATGAAGAGGCTAAAGTAGATTATTAATGAAGAGACTCCAGCTATGGATCTTTCATCCTGCCTCTTCTTTTCCTGTTCCTGTATATCCAGTTGTTTCAGACCTTTATTAGCTTGAAGGTCCCACTGGTACTTGAGGTGTGCTTTCAGAGCCATCGTCATATTGAGACTTACGAGGTTTGTTCCTTGCCCTAACTGGCAGAACCAAGGGATAGCAGATGAGTTACTGGAAAGCAATTCCAGGAGAGAGGGAGTGAGAGGGAGGGAGGGAGGGAGTGAGAAGGAGGGAGAGAGAGAGAGAGAGAGAGAGAGAGAGAGAGAGAGAGAGAGAGAGAGACAGGCACAGGAGGACATCTGAAGTTTGATACCTGAATACTTAGAATCTACACATACAGTTCAGGAAAGTTGCTCTTTTGTAACATTTCGTCTCACCCTTTTGTTATTTTTTTAAGCAGATGAGTGTTTGAATTTTTTATGTTTTGGTTTTGAGTGTGTGCATTTTTATTTACTGAGGTGTGAAAAATGAGGTGGTTGCTGAAAAGAGGAAAAATCACAGGACATTTCAGTAGGAACCATGCTGCCTCTCTAGGAACACGAAGGACAGATTTCCTTACCAAGTTTGGAACACTCCCCCCAACACACACACACACACACACACACACACACACACACACACACACACACACACACAGTTCATTATGGTAATACCACCTCCACCTCCAACTTTAGGCACTGCTCTGTAGCATATCTGTGACCCCTCACCCCTCCACTGCTAACATGTCTTCTTAATATACACCCTCACATTCATTTCTTAGCATTCCTTTGGGAATGCTCATTAACTCCAATTACTGTTAATCACCTATCACGTTCATGTCCCTTGGACTCCATGAACTGTTATTCTTTAAAAATACATTCAAAATAGTCATTTTATGTGTTTTGATATATACCATTGATCTTCCCTTGCATATGTTAAAGACACTAGATATAGGCTGACTTGCCACATTGATTTGTTCAGTATCTAGATGAAAGACATGAAGAATTATCCTTCTGCTATAAAGTCATTTAACTTGTTTTCTTTTACTTATTGTGATTGCTGTGTCTTACTGACATTGATCTCAGCTTGGAAACTGGCATATATAGTTTTGCAAAATAGTTCTTCAGAGTACTATAAAATATGATTATTTAAAGCTATTTCAGAAAATGTATTGTTCCTGCTGTGATATTAAAATGGCAATTTGTTTTACTTATGTTTACTTTACATGTGTAATTATAAAATCAAGTTTTAAAAACTGCTTTGTCTACTTTTTGGTGCATTTTAAATTTGGAATGTATCTTTGGACACCTGTACAGATGCAAGACCAGTGGTGGTTGGATTTGTTGGTTTACCAATAAGAGTCATCTCCACAATCTATCACTCTAGAGAGGTAGCTCCTATCAGTAGGAAACAAATGAATTGTGAATTCTGTGTCCTCTCCTGCTCTGATTTCTACAACAGAGAGGATGATGTAATTGCAACACATTTTCCTATTTGGTATATAAGATTGAAAGTTACCCTTTGCAACTTTCCCTTTGGAATGTTTCTTTTATATTTGTTGAATCAAGGAATGCTACATTGATTTGCCTGCTATCCTAGTTTTACTGAATTGTAATCTACTAAGAAGCAAAAGACTATATTTAGCAAAATGGTGGTTGTAGTAGAAATTTGTGAGTTTGTGAAATGTAGTAGAATAAGACTGAGAAGTCCTTTGACGCACTCTTTTGAGTTAATCTTTTTGCAATGTATGGTCCCATGGAGATCTCAAAGTCCACTAGAAAGATTACTGGGTTTTTGTTTTGAGCCGTGCAAACAGTAATAATTCTTCACCACATACCCTCCTCTGTAAGGTATGAGAGTGACCCCATTACAATTAAGCCCATTTACTTATATATCACTGGAGCCACCCTAAATAAAGTAACAAGTTCATTAGTGATTTTTAAATAAGGTACAAGTCAAGGGATGGCTCCTGCCCGGGTGTAACTGATTTGGGAAAGACACAGCTGAAGAGAATTTTGCAGGGTGACTCAGTCTCAATACTGACCGTTGCTTTTAAACCCGCCAGGAAAAATACACCAGTCATTGTTATGATGAAAACAACCGGGAAGGGGGTGGTGGCGAGGATAAAAAGAAGCGAGATAAAATTTGGCCAAAGCTATGAGCTACACGCAAGCCACCGCTACGGGGCAGGCGGCGGAGCAGGCGGCGGGGCGGCGGGGCGGCGGGGCGGCGGGGGGGGGGGGCACGGCACCTGCGAGCAGCGCGGGCGGGCTGGCAGGCGTGGCGGCGGTGGGCGGGGCCGGGCGGCGGTGGGCGTGGTCGTCCGTGGCGCGGGCGGGGCCGGCGGTTGGAAGGGGGTGGAGTTGCCCTTGGAGGCGGCACCGGCCGTGGGCTCTGAGGCCCGCCGCGCCCTATCGGGCCCCAGCCGAGTCGCCCCGCGGAGCCGGCGCGCTCCCGCCTGCAGGGGGAGGGAGGGAGGGAGAGAGGGCGGACGGGGCGCAGGGACCGGCCAGGCCGCGGCAGGCGCTGTTTCTCTTTCACTTTCCTTCGCTCGGAGGCCGGCGCGCTGGCGGGCCAGGAACGGCGGTGGTAGCCGCCGGGTAAGTACCGGGCGGGCTTGGGAGGAACCCGGACGCGGGCGGCCCCGCGCTCCCCGTCCAAGTTTGCGCCCTGAGCGCGAGCGGCAGCTCCAGGCACCTGCCGCGGCCGGCTCTCGGGGAATCGGGGAAACGGTTCGGGGGCGGAGGCGGCCGACTGGGGTCGGGGGCTCTGCATCCGTGCACTGCTCTCCGCGGCGGGGAGCGCGGACACAGGGGGCGCCCGGTCGTAGAAAAGCGGCTCGTTCCTCCCGGCGCAGCCCCGGCCCGGCGCGAGCGACAGGGAATCGGCGGGGCCCGGGCCCGAGCACCTGCCGGGCGGGCGGACGGACGAGCGCTCGAACCACACGAATCGGGTCTGTGCCGCCCGGTCCCGACCCGGGACTCAGAAAAGTCTCCTCCCTCCCCGCCCGACGCGGGGAGGAATTGCTTCCCTTAACTGTCTTGGTGACAGGGCGATCTGCCCCAGGACCTGAATGCAGCCAGATCGGGACCCACATTTCCTCTGTCAGAGGACTTTCCCGTACGTGGGAAAGACGGGGCGGTTAATTCCGACGTGGGGAGGAGCGGAGACCCGGGCACCCATAGTAAATGCTTTGCAGAAGGGCATGCAAACTAAGGGCCGGAACCCCGGTATCCTGGTTAATTCTACTTTCTTTCTGTCACACCCTCCACGAGATTTCCCGACCGGATGGGATGAGTACATGCAGAACCTATTCCCTGCGCATTCACAATGGCTATGTGTCGATGGAATGATGCCTTTTACCTTTCCGGTTACTTTATACTTGCCCAAGGGTTAACAACTAAGGTAGCAGAAAAGTTCCTGTTTATACAATGAACTTAGAAAAGTTAGCACCTTTTTTTTCATGTTGTGTTTTTGGAGAGGGCATCTCCCTTGTGAGAAATTCTGCAAACCTTTTAATCTGTACAAGCCAATTATGCTAAAGTCATGGGAAAAAGTAATAACATTTATTCAGTTTTTACTGTGTGCTAGGTTTTATGTGTGTTGTTTCACTTAATCCTCTCCACTAGGAGGCTAACACTCTTATTTTCACTTTAGAGTTAAGAAGAAAACGAGACAGACAAGAGAGTAGCATTGTCCAGGTTATGTTTGTACTACATATGACTGGTTTCTAGTAACAGTTTTTCAGTCTAATAGAGAAGATAAAAGAATGAGTGTAACTATAAATCAAAAGGAAAGGAAAATGTAATAGAGAAGTAAGGGTTAACAAAGGAGGGAGGAATTACACTGGGGATAGCTTAGGGAGGATGCCAGCAAAGGAGAAGGACTCCTTGGATTGAAGACAGTGCCTACAGAGTGGATGGTGGAAGGGGAAAACTCCCTTCAGTTTACCTGAAGAAAGGTGTTGACGGTATGTTAAGGTCTTACAACTCTGTGTGTGGGGGCATGCCTACACACAGAGACTTCTTTTCTCTGTTTGTAAGGAGGAGACACTGACATTCTTTGAGTAGATCCAAATGCAATACAATAGAATAAAATAAACCTAATAGCAGAATATAAGATGGAGAGTCTGATTATATCCAAGTAGGGTAGCTGTGAATGGAGTGGAAAAGGACATCTACTCCATTTGACTGTCAACTGGATATGGAGTACAAAATGGAAATAGGGATCATTTGATAGGAAGGAATGCTGGCTTCAGTTTTGGATCTTTTAACGTGTGGCAGGAACTATGAATAGAGCAGTGAAGCCAAGAGTTAAAATGCATTACTAAAGAGGAAAGCTAACAAAGTGGAGTTAATAGCTTTGGGTGTCCTTAGTGTTGAGGTGATAGTTGAGACTCCAGGATTGGATGACGTCATTATTATTCTGAATTAACTTATAGCAGACTTACAAGCTAAGTGTATAGGAAAGGATATGCTCTATTCACCTCTTCACCCATTTTGGACCACATAACACTTGCTGTTAATGTATTAATAGCTATACAGTATGATGAATTTGACATGTTTTTCTCTGATCTTTTTAAAAGGAATTTGGAGACAGATATGGAAAAGAAGAAGCACTAAAAGGAGTGATGATCAGTGATCTTATGATAAATCTGGATGTTAGTTCTCATGCCTCAGGACATCCTGTTGGAAACACCACACCAGCTCCTGGGACCAGCCTTTCATCCACTTAGTACCCCTCCTTGTCTGAACTACTAAAGCCAGCTAACCCCGAATGGCTACCCAAAGGAAACACTTGGTGAAAGATTTCAATCCTTACATTACCTGCTATATCTGTAAAGGATATCTTATCAAACCAACGACAGTGACAGAATGCCTCCATACCTGTAAGTATTATTTTATGTCATCTACTCATCAAAAGTTAAACCTGCATATATCTCTTTACATGGTTATGTCTTGTTTTTAATCTAGATTTTAAATTTTAAAAAGAGTATTCTAAGAATTACTTCATCTTTGAATTAAGTTTCAGAATATTTATCAGTAGGATACCAGTAGTATGAGATTTCTTTGTTAGTTGACTTTCAATACATACTTGATTTTTATATTATAAAATATTCTAAAAATCCTAAGCATGTTGATTACTATGACTTTTAAAAAGTGAACCATTTCAAGTTTCATATTTTTTTAAGTTTATACTGAAGGAATTAATCTGCTCAGAGATTTTTGTTAGGCTGTGCATACTTTAACTCGTTGATTCTCAAAGTGTGATTCTTACACCAGCAGCATCAACCTCAGCATCTTCTGGGAACTTGTTAGAAATGCAGAGTACCAGCCCACCCTAGACTTACTGAATGAGAAAGTCTGGGAGTATACCCCGCAATCTGTGTTTTAAGGAGCCTGCCACTGTTCTAATAAATTTCATTCTTACCTGTCCCATCAAAAGGGGAAGAACCCTTTTTATAGCTACTTATGACAGGATTATACATAGTTCTTGTGTTTTCTGCCAGTGTATATTTCAGTGAAAATAAGTCCAGTAGGTTCAAGTTTAATGACTAACAAAATAGAAACTTGATTTCATTTTAGCTTTATAATAACCTTGGAGCAGTTTAGAGTTGATGTAAAGGGGAAAGAGAAGATATACAAATTACCTATATTTTATAGGTGTGGAAACTAAGAGTTTAAATAACTTTCCCTGTCTCACAGATCCTGAGTAGTAGACTTGAATTCAGCTCAAAAGCCCATGTTTTTTCTAATATAACATGATGTTTGAGAGATTGTTTTGCTTGTTTGGTTGATTTTTGTAAACCTTTCCTAAAGCTATTTGCTCAGCTGATAAAATACATACCACTGGTTTTAAATAAAGGGTGAAAAACAGAGTAACTTAGAAGTGGTTAAAATGGCAAATTTTGTGTTGCATATACTTTACCACAGTAAAAAAATAGAATCACATAGGAAGCTGTTTGTAAACATACACATACTCAGGGGACAGGTGGTGGGTCTTGGGGTAAGGCCTGGGCACCTGTTTTGGAAAAGCTCTCCTAGTGATGCTGATGTGTACTCCTTTGTGATAGTACTGACTCATGTTGTCTAATTAGCAAGTAACAATGAAAAAATGCCTTGAACAGTTAATGTGCCATCATCTTGTACCATTATTTAACTTGAAGTGTTAATAATTAACTGTCATTAAACACACACTTATTGATTACCTACTGTGCGCCAAGTACTGCTATAAACAGAGAATACAGTAAGTGTTCAGGGCAGACAAAAAGCTCTTTTTAAAAAGTTTACATTCTAGTAGAGAAAGCTACTAATAAATATGCTATGTTAGTAATAAACGTTATGAAGTGGAACAAAGTAAGATTGTAGGTAAGAGAGACAGGATTATTTTATGTAGTGTCAGGATCAGCCTCTCTGAAAAGATGGCATTTGAACAGAAAATTGAAGAGACAAGCTCTGTGTATATTTGAAGAGTCTGCTAGCAAGAGAGAAAAGCAAGTCCACAGGCTTTTTGGTGGGAAGACACTTGGCACTTTCAAGGAATAGCAAGTCAATTACAAGCTATTATGGTAGGTCAGGTGGAAGACTGTAAGACTTTTAACCAAGCAAAGAAGATGTGAGATGGAGGTGGTGAAGAGCAGTTGGATCACAGATGTATCTGAAGGACAAGCCAATAAGATGAGGCTACTACTACAGTGGGGACTTGAGCCTGTTGTTTGTTTCCCTATGTACCAAGCATGGTACCTGGACGTGGCCCACAGTCTGTTTTACTGCTTCTAAAATTGGTGCATTGTTTTTGTATTTGTATCACTCCAGCAAAAATTGCCAACTCTTGAAAATGAGATGAAAGCACAAATACCCCAATTTGTATCTGTATACTACACGTTTTATGTACATCCTTCTGAAAGAAAAACTTTAAAATGGAATACCAAATTAAATGTTACTTCTTTTGGAGAGAAAGCAAAAGATTCTAAAAGTATAAAGAATTAGTTTATTTTTATGTTCTCAATAGCAATTAAAGCCTAAAGAGGTAAATGACAATTTAACTGTACAAGTCATTCTGACCTGAAAGATCCTTTAACAGTCAGCCAGCCCCTTTACTGAGAGAGAGTGACCATGGTAGAACTGTGATGAAAATACAGTAATAAATCAAAAATGTGGCCTTTATTATTGACAAAGAACTCCAAATAGTAGTGTAGTTGGTGGATTCAGGTACTCAACCCTGTGTCTGAGGAGATGAGGATTCCATAGCACTAGGCTTTATGTACTCTCGGGCTCTTGGATTTCTATGTACTTTGTATGAATATTGGGACTTATTGGCAAAGTATTTCTTTTCTGTGTGGATAGCATTAAAGCAGCATAAAGCAGCCTTCCTCAACCTTTTGAGTCTTTGATATGTGGTTATACTCTGGATTTTGTCTCTTTTCCCAGGTCTTTTCAGGTATGATGTAGGACAGATACAATAGTACTATGAATGAAATGGGTGAAAATTAAGTAAAATGATCAAGTGGGAAAGGCAGGAATTAAGAACTATTACATGATTCTGTGGTACTGTATAGCATATTTAGACCCTAGCTTTATAAAGAAAATACCTTATTAAATTAACTGCACAAAGAATACAATTGTATGGTACTATACATTAACAACAAGTTAAGTAAAGAATGCATGAACACTAGTTCTTGTTATGAAAACTTACAAGAAAGTGTAAAAATGTTGGTCCTACTGAATAATAGTAAGAAATATATAAGTGAAGCTATAGTGAGCAATCCAGACATGGAATCTGCCCTCTGAACTATCTCATCAAGTGAAGAAAGAGTAATAAATTTAAGAAATGTATAAAATTAATTCAAATGCTGATAAGTACAAAGATGACAGTGAAACAGGGTAATATAATAGCAGGAATGTGTCAGGATATTGAAGCAGAGTGGAATGCAGAAGAAGGAATAAGAATGTTTCTGAAATTCCTAAAGCCATAGATCCCAAGTCTTCGCAGACAGGGTCAGAGGCCATTGGTCTGGCTTCAGTAGAGATGCAAAGGGTGGGAGAGGCATTTCAGTGGGAGACAGGAATCATCTGTGCTATGATAAGGATAAACAAAGTTACTTCAGCCTTTTCTCAAATTACTATGCAAACACATTTCACTTCTTTCTTCTCCTCAAGTCAGATTGATTGCTGTTCCCCCATTCTTCATAAAAAAATTCTGGAGCTAATACTGCCTGGCTGCCCTGTGGATATAAAAGAGGGCCCAGAGGGTGAGCAGGATGACTGCCTGAAGCATTCAGTTATATGGAAGAAAGAGAAAGGGGCAAATCAAACCCACCAAGAGGAAAGAGGAGGCAAAGATGGTGGGGCACCTGTGTTCCAGGTTCTTGGCAAGGAGATGCAAAAAGGAGGGGCACAAAAGCCATGCCTTTAACTAGACCCAAACATTACCAACTTCCTTTATGTAGGCCAAGACGTTTTATAAATATATAATTTTTAGTTAAAATTTCAAACATGAATGAGTTGTAGCTTTATTAGATTAATCAGGGTGAGATAGTTTTACCTGATCTAATGAAAAGTGTTCTCAAAAATAATTATTCTATTATTTAAAATAAATAGTTACATTTCAGTCACTTTTATAGTCTCTGGAAATTGAGTGGTCAATAAGATAAATTTGGAACTTACACTCTTCAAGAAAACTTCTCATAAGCCAGGAAGAAATTCTGATGTATGTATTATTTGGAACTATCTTTTTCTTTTCTCTGTAAGGTTTTATATTCTGATACTTGAATAACTATGATGATATTTCCTAAATCTTCATTTCTGGCTTAGACCTTTCTTCTTGGCCTTAGACTCCTACTGGATGTCCTACTTGGATGTCTTGAACTCACCTGAAACTCAACTAAGAATGAATGAATTGGATGTCAACACTCAGTTATCCAAGCAAGAAATGTGCTCCATGAGTGACTCTTTACCCTCACTGACAAAATGGACAGTGTCCTGTCTGGCCCCTCTCTTTGATATTTCTCAAGTCTGTATCTTCAGTTCCATCCCCTATTAATGTTCAGGCCCTCCTTACTTCTCACCAGAGCCACTACAGCCCATTCTTGACCAGAAATTTCCTAAAGGTACTTTGTTGCTCTTAGGATAAATTACAGCTGCTTACCTGTTAAAGGTTAGTTTCTGCCTACTTCTTTCCCAACCCCTTAACACATGCATAGGCAGAGACTTGGTTCATCTGTTCACTTTGCTTGACATGAACTGCTTTTCCTCTATGTTCAGCTAGCAGTTAGCCAGCCTTTAAAAATCATCCCCTCAAAGATGTGCCATCCACATGTTCCCACACAGATTTGGGTTCAATCTCTCCTTAATATCTGGTATGTGAGTACTCAATAAAAACTTATGTGAATAAATGAATGGCTTAAAAGTTGCTTATTTTATTATGTGTTTCTCCTTTCACAGATTCAAACACAGTGGCAGATAATTTGAAAGGCATGTAGACAATGTTAGTAATTATCAATTTAGAAAAACTATCTTCTCAAATCTACTTAGGTGCCTGTGGGTTTCAGGGTCCAGAGACTGATGGGCCTAGATTAAGGAATGTGCTATCTGTTGCACCAAGGCTTGAGAAATCTTCTGAAGCTGTGTAATGTATATGCTGGTGGTTGTATAGGTTGTTGACTTAAAATGAAATACATTCACTAAAACTAAGGACAAAGGAGCTTTGTTCCAGAAGCTCAAATGTGATAAATGAAGTGCGTTGGTTTTTAGCCCTTTCGTAGATAGAGGGCCCTGTAGAAAATCTGATGATTCTTTCCTCAGAAAAAAAGTGTTATAGTCACGAAATTCTGTAGTACAGGAAAAAGAAAATTTTCTTCTTTCTACCCTTTCAGAGATGTCAGTAATC